ACAGTCCCTACAAAACAGCTTAAGAATCATGCATCTTTTATTTTGACAATTTTATTTTTGAGCTTATTCTTTTAGATTTAGGATGACTGAGGATTTGACAAAGGATTTGTAAAGTTCCCATGGACTCTTTCTGGACAACTCTGTATTACTTTGCAAATTCTTTCATCACTGGGTCATATCTGTGAATCTTATGGCAACACAGCTTTGACTTATGTTGTCACTTCTGATTCACACCCTAAAACTGCTCATAGAAAGTCCATTCTCTTGTCATTTGGTCCAATATTTTTCATGCTTACGTTTTATTACTGTCAGAACAAGAGGAGAGGAAGTAATTAAATAAAACTAAACTATGTGCTAACAAAATTTTAATAAGTTTTGCTTTTGAAAAGGGAAAAAAAAAAAATTCAGTTTGACAAAGTAATATATATTTGCTTCACAAAAACATTCTTACCTTTGATCATCAATGTGTAAGTGAAAAAATATGCTGCACAGTTACACTTTTCTTCACTTTGGAGGTCAGAGAGGGTAGGAAAACTGCTTTTTCATTTAATTGCATATAAACATGTCCCCAGCCACTGCTTAAGCCAAATTGTACACAGAATGTTAAACTACTGTATGTGAAGTTAGATGCAAATTAATATTTCATGAAAATCCTGCATTAACCCCTTGATCCTGACCTTCAGGTTTAATGGAGAACTGGAACAAAGATGTAGACCAAAGGCTGCAGTGCTACAGTCACAACAAAGAACACTACTTCTAGAGATCATCCCTTTCCTCTCTGTTCAAAATATCCAACAACTTTTACACAGCTCTAGATATTTCATGTTGGCTCCACTATTCTTTCTGGCCCCACACAAATCCATTCAGAAGAGGAAAGTGCTTTTAATTTATCTGTTTCATTTGAATATTTACCTTGCATCTTAAAGAAGTATAAATTTCAGAAAGGGCAGAAGTATAGAAAATGGGGTTACACCAAGCTGGTGGCCAGTCACTAGTGGAGTTCCACAGGGCCCCATTTTAGGCTCAGTTCTCTTCAATGTTTTCATAAATGACTTGAGTATAGGACTTGAAGCTATATTAAGTTTGTGGATGACAATAAATTGGGAGGCACTGTTGACTACAGCAGTGGTATAGAGGCCTTGCAGAGAGATCTTGATAAATTGGAGGGCTGGATATTAACGAACAATATGAAAAATTTAACAAGAGCAAGTGCTAGATTCTGCACATGGGAAGAGGAAACCCTGGCTGTATGTACAGACTGGGGGACAAGAGGCTGGAGAGCAGCCCTGCAGAAAGGGATCCTGTGGTTCTGTTTGATGGCAAGTTGAATATCAGTCAACAGTTTGCCCTGGCAATCAAAAGGGCCAATAGTATTCTGGGGTGCATCCAGCAGTGCTGTGCTTGATGCACACAAGAAGTTGAGGGAAGTAATTGTGCTGCTCTACTCTGCACAGGTGTGGCCTTATCTTGAGTACTGTATGCAGTTTTGGGTGCCTCAATTTAAAAAAGACTAAAACTAATAGACAGTGTCCAAAGGAGGGCTATGAAGAAGATCAAGACATGATGAGCAGCTGAGGTCACTTGGTTTGTTCAGCCTGGAGAAGAGAAGACTGAGGGGAGACCTCATGGCGGCCTGCAGCTTCCTCATGAGGGGAGTGGAGGGGCAGGCGCTGAGCTCTGCTCTCTGGGGACAGCGACAGGACCCGAGGGGATGGCATGGAGCTGGGACAGGGGAGGGTCAGGCGTTTGGGTGTTAGGGAATGTAGTGGGTTTACGTGGCAAAGTTTTGGTAGCAGGCGGGCCATAGGGGTGGTTTCTGTGAGAAGGATCGAGAAGCTGCTCCATGTTTGGTAAGGGCCCCACTCCTGACCAGAGCCGAGCCAGTAAGTGATGTTGTTTTGCGCCTCTGTGAGAGCATATTTAAGACAGGGAAAAAAACGCTGCGCCACACAGCAGCTGGGAGAGTGAGAGGAGTGAGGAACAGCCTTGCAAGCGCCAAGGTCAGTGCAGAAGGAGGGGGAGAGGTGCTCCAGGCGCCGGAGCAGAAGTCCCCTGCGGCCTGTGGTGAGGACCATGGTGAAGCAGGATGTCCCCCTGCAGCCCATGGAGTACCACGGTGGAGCAGGGTTCCACGCTGCAGCCCGTGGAGGAGACCACGGTGGAGCAGGTGGCCCTGCACCGACGGAGGCTGCCACCTGTGGAAGACCCCTGCCAGAGCAGATTCCAGGCCAGACCTGCAGCCCGTGGAGAGGAGCCCACGCAGGAGCAGGTGACCTGGCAGGAGCTGCTGCCCGTGGGGGAGCCAGGTTGGAGCAGCTTTCTCCTGAGGGTTGGACCCCATGGTACGGACCCATATCTGGAGCAGTTCTGGAAGAGCTGCTGCCTGTGGGAAGCCCACACTGGATCAGTTCATCAAGGACTGCATCCCATGGGAAGGACCCCACAGCACAGGGGACGAGAGTGACCGAGAAGGAGCGGCAGAGAAGAAGTGCTGTAGACTGATCATAACCCCCATTCCCCATTCCCCTGCACCGCTCAGGGGGAGGAGGTGGAAGAGGGTGGATGGGTGAGAAGGTGCCTTTGGTTTCTTTCCTTTGTTTCTCATTTCTCTAGCGTGTCAGTAATAAGCAATAAATCATACTATCTCCCTATGCAGAATCTGTTTTGCCTGTTACAATAATTACTGCGTGATCTCGTCCTTATCTCAACCTTTGAGCCCTTTTCATCATATTTTCTCCCCATTCCTCTTTGAGGAGGGGGAGTGAGAGAGCGACTGTGGTGGTGCTCGGCTGCCCACTCGAGCGGAACCTCAACAGGGAAGTGTTCTGTACCCAGAGGGTGGCCAGGCACTGGCACAGGCTCCCCAGGGCAGTGGTCACGGTAGGAAGCCTGATGGATTTCAAAAAGTGTTTGGACAATTCTCTCAGACATATGGTCAATTTTTGGGTGGTCCTGTGTGAGCCAGGAGTTGGACTTCTTGTGGAGCTGGATTCTTGTGGGTCCCCTCCACCTCAGGGTATTCAGTGATTCTATGAAAATTATTTTCTGGCTTGCATATCTCTCTGCTAAGCTTTGGCAAGTACTTGTCAAAAGTCTGAAGATATGGACAGATATATTTGTTGGTCTTGTTCGGGGCATCCTGGTGCATCACCTTTCCTTATGATGCTACAGTATCAACTACTGCTCATTGGTATTCCAGTGAGCAAGTAATTTTGCTGAATATACATATATGAATGTATTTTCTGTATATATATATATATGTATGTATGTATTTTGCTTGGACTCATCTGTTACAGTTTGCTCTTCTCAGAGACATATTTCACTGACAGAGCAACAACCCTAACAACCCTTTCAGTAAAGAAGTTCTTCCTAATATCCAACCCAAACCTTCCCTGGCCCAACTTTATCCCATTCCCCTTCGTCCTGTTGCCAGGCACGTGGGAGAAATCCCCACTCACTACAGCCTCCTTTAAGGTACCTGTAGGGTGTGATAAGGTCGCCCCTGAGCCTCCTCTTTTCCAGAACTGAACAATCCCAGCTCCATCCACTGGCTTAATTGTCATGGTTGTATTTAGGACAATCCTGCAACTGATCAGGAACAGTAGCTATGGTATGGGCCAGTCAGATCATGCAGATGGCAATCACTGCACCTGAAATTTTCATTGCTGGAGATCAAGTTTAGCAGTAGGAAGAACCTTTTCAAGAGGAGATGATGGATATTGTTGATTCCCATTTCTCAAAACCCAAAAGCCAGAGAAGAACAAAATCAGTTTGTGGCAATTTCATTGCTTGCCCCAAGATCCTTAAAGAGCATATCTTGTTTACCACTGTATACCTCTAAAACTTATTCTCTCCACTGGAGATTTTCTTACTATTTTATATATTATCTGATGCCTGGGTCTCCAGAGAGGTTAAAAAGAGGAAAACAGAGAAATGCCCGCATTTCACCCAGCACTTGGCATTCATAAAGTTAAAAATAAATAAATAAATAAATAATAAAAATAAAAATAATAAAAATAAAAATCTGACTATACATCCTTTCCATCTGCCTGTTGTTGTTAGGGCTCCTTAATTTACTAAAACCAGCAGATAGGTACCAAAATTATAACTGTATTGTAAATCTACCACTAGAAGGACTCAAACACCTGAGCTTTCAAAATAAATCAATTAATCACTAGCCCCCATGTGGGTACAGAAATACTCTGGAGTGGAGGAAATATGGATTGATGCTGTGTTGTCTGTCTCAGTCTGTTGGGAATAAGTAGCTCCAAGAACCGCAATTTTCCTCATCAATATCATAAGCATTATTTCTGAAGCCTCATGATGGCAACACAGTTAAACATTAACTATGTCTCTGCTAAATATTATAGTATACTCATAAAATCAGAATGTCTGGCCATGGCTGTGACAGACACTGAAACAGAAACCGTTCAGGTGGTTAGTACTGCTAGGGGACAGCAAGCTACAATACAGAGCTCAGAGGGAGGTTCCCAGTGTTGATGCAGAAATCTTCCCCTATTATATTTTAGTAGGAAAAGCATCATTTCACAAATCTTCCTTGCTTTGAATAATTTGAACTACTCTATTCTTAATATAAATAATAAAACAGGTATAGGACTTGCTTATACTTTCATTCCTCACAGTAGCGCATGTTTCAATTAAAAGTAAAATTATTACACTTTCATTTGTGCAATTTTTTGATAGAATAGTACATTTATATGTTAATTTTGCTAAGATCAACTTTATTTATCTACAGGAAGCTATTCCAAGATTGTTGTACATTTTCTTCGCTTCTGAAATGTTATCACATTTAATTGCCTGATCTTATTTGGGTTGCAATCATAGTCATTAATTAGCAGGAAGGTGAGGGACAGCATCATATCTAACTATCTGTTATGGCTGCTTTAATGAGGAAAATACCTGCCATCATTTTAAAGGCATCCTGTATACTTCACAAATACAGCTTGCTGTAGCATTCTCATTTAGGCTGTGAACATCAAAGGAAATTGATGTCAGGTGTGAACAGAAGCTGTTGAATATATCTGTTGAGGAAGCTGAGTGGTGTGTCTGGATGGGAGAGATGAAGGGCAGCTTAAAACATTAACAAAACTACAGGTAATTAGTGTAAACTTTCAAGGGTAAGGTATGCTTGAGGAATAAAAAATGTTGTTTATAGCTATTCCCTGTAGTGCCACTATTGCTAAGGGTCTGTCAATGTTTTCATTTATAAAGCTCTATTTTTATAGTATTGTGCACTAGTAATAAAAAATGTGCTTGGGGCTAGAAGTTGACAATTTTAAGGAAAAATAAATTGTTTTTGTTGTTTTGATGCTTCTTTAAAATTATATGAGAGTATGGATATCAGAAGTTTATCTGTTCTGACTGGTTGTTTTCCTTTGTATAATTCAGCTGTTGGTTTAAAATCAAATTAATGAAATTTGGCAAGCAATTAGTTCTTAGTATGGACTAATCAGTGTTGGAATTCTTGGAAAAGGAAATAAATAAACCAATATTATTTAGTGTTCCACTAGCAAAATTATACCTTACAAACAGAACTGTGAAAAATTTAATGCATCTGTAGAATATGTTGAATTAATATTTTCATTTCAAGTGAAATCGTACAGAATATTACTTAAAAATAATGAATTTTAAGAAGTGTTGAAATGCAAATTAATGTGGTCAGTTACACAGATAACATAAGTTTAGTGTGCACTATCAGGCTTGTCAATTGGCTCATAATGATGTTGTCATATCTTGTCTCAATAATTCTTCATAAATAGAATATAGGAGGAACCTTGTTAAGCTATTGACATCCTCAGGTTCCTGCATGCTTAAAAGAAACACAACCTAATTTCCTGGAAGAAAAAAGTGTACCTTTTAACTCTTGCTATGCAATTATCATTGAATTTTTTTAATAATGTTTGCATGTTTGTGAAACAGATCCTTTTAAGTAAGAGTTTAAGAGCCAAATATGCTACAGTTCATAAGGATGCATGTATGGAATAGTAATTACTGTCCCTACTAGGTTTTTTCACCTTCCAAGAGATCTGATCACTTTGTATAATACATTCATGGTATTTCACTCAGATGAGGAAAGTGAAGACAATTAAACACTGAGCTCAAATGTATCTCAGCAGAGCAATACCCCCATAGGACTGGAAATCAAGTCTCTTGAACCTCATCCGAATGCTTTACTTGTTGTATGAATGTGTTTCTACTATCTATGTGCTGAAATACTGGAAAATACTGGCTGAACTTTTTTTTCTCTTCCTCTCTCTATAGGGAGAACCTTGATATATGCTCCAAAATTGAACCCTTTAAGTTTTGTCAAATACAGCTTTCTATTAAATCCTTAAAATCAATGTTAATACATATTTAAATGGTGGGATATGTCTTTGGATAAAATATCTATATGTGGGGTGTGTGTATATATGTATGGTGTGTTCCCTACTCAGAGATCATAATTTCAGGCTCAGTGCATCAGCACACTGCTTATAATGGAAGTAATATGATCATCAGAAATCTGATGCAGCAGTTTTTAGTAAAAGATGATTTTTAATGAAAGTGTGTCCATTTCTAATGATGCCCTGATTAACATTGTGGCCAGAGATTAAGTTTTATGATGATTGCTATAGTTACTGTGGACTCCTTCAGGAATATTTTCATGCTACTCAACCAGTTGCATGACTTTCAATTGTGAATCCACGTACATAAGCCCAAAAGACCATGGTCATATAACCTAACCACCCAAAAAACATAGGGTAGGAAATATCTCAAATATGATTATTTGTTGTTGGAAACAGAGCATCTTTTAAAAACTCAATTTTCACTGTGTAATTTCCCGACTCTTCAGGAAAAGAAGTGAAATTGTCCTTGTCGTACTGTATCTCATGCGAGCTTGGAAGCCCAGGGTTGGTCTAAGATCCTTTGCTCTAACTGGAGGTTAGACTGCCTCTGTCAGGGAAACTGAGTGGGACTTGCTAACTGGATACAGGTATTAAGTTTTTTATAAAGCTAGTCTATGAATCAAAACTTCTGATCTTCAGCATGTATGTATTTTTCTGTTTTGTTACTACTCCTTTCCGTTCCACTCCCCCACACTCTAGGCTGATCACCTACTGCTCTTATATGAAATGACTGAATTCTGCCCTTAGATTCCTAACTGCAATTGAATTCTAGTATAAGAAGCAGAGTGAAAATTTGGCAGAAAAGATCTCATATATTCACACTTTCTTTTTATGAGCATGAAGCTATGTTTGGGTGCAATAAACACCTGTCATCTTAAATAGTAAAGAATGTACTGCATTCTGCATGTTTCTTTTTTTAATTATAAAAGTGCTTTAATTTCTAGTTAAATGCAAAGCCACATTGAAGGAACTAACATTTCAGAAGAGATAGTAAGGAGAACTGCAAATAAATCAAAATAAATGAAGTAAAAATATTCTATTTTATGCAAAAAAAAAAAAAAAGACACAAGACTGCTGTTGTAATTCAGATGACCTTGAAAGAGATATGACACAGACATTTTGTTGAATAATGATGTGCCTAATATTGATATAGGAATGACAAAAACTATTTTAGACTGTTTCCCATGACGGACAGGTAGTGATATCCTGTGAAAAGCTTGAGCAGAACTCTTTCACTATTTCAATAGCAATCTTTTTTTTTTCTCTCTGAAGTTGAACAATAGATGAGACCTCCTAATGGCTTTCCATGTGTTCATCACAGCTACCTGCGTGAATTTGCAGTAATTAAGCAATCTGAAATGCTGACTGACCCAGAGAGAAAGCTACTCTATACCAGTGGTGTCCTTGAAATGTCTTCATCATCAAGTAGTCTCTTCTCTTCATCTCAGTGAAAGCTAATGTCAGCACTACTGTGTAGCAACCCTTCCTGTAGAATAGCTATTGAAGTCTTATAAGGATGTTTATATATATGAAATATATAAAGAAGAATAAGAGAAAAATCCCACCAGTAAAGCAGTGTGGGCAGGGAAATGGCCCGGTGAAAATGTTTCTGATATCAGGAGGTAGGGAAAGGGAACTTGGTGAGGATTAAAAATGGCTTTTTTTTTAAGGTCAAAAATATAATTAGCATTTCAAAGGATGTGAAGATGCACTACCTTGGGGACCACAATGGCCAAACTTGTGCCATTTAATGTCAACAGCCATTGGAGTTGTGATAAAATTAATAGAGCCTTGTGTGATTGATAATATACATCATCTGCCATGCTAGTACAAAAATCCCACAGGTTTAGCAGCAAGGAACAATGTTTAGATCACTTCTGAATGAAGGCTGTTTGAAAGATGTACTTATGGGCTTTAATTAACTTATGAAATGTGTGACAATGTTCCACACTACTGAAAAGTAAAAGTGTCTTGTTTAATTATTAACTATGTGAGGTGAGTTTAGTGTATATCTTCAGTAACAGGACATTGTGGATGCTGATGTGCAAGAGTAATATTAAAGGCAGATTTTTCTCTAGTGTTTTCAATGGTAGAAAAATCTCTAGCTTATCTTTGTTAAAGAAAGGGGTTGCATCGTTTATAGTGAGAGATTAAACAATGACTTAAGCACTGAAAGAAAATGAGATGTTCTATAAATAACATACACTTTAACTTAGACTCAGTTTATTTTTCACTTATTGGTGGGCTGCACACATTTTTCTAACCTGTTCTGGAGGGGGAAAAAAAAGTTTTGCACAATATGTCTTAGAGAATCATACGGGTAAATTTTTAAGAACTGACAATGTGAACTTGCAGCCCAGAAAGCGAGCTGTATCCTGGGCTGCATGAAAAGGAGTGTGACCAGCAGGTCAAGGGAGGTGATTCTCCCCCACTGCTCTGCTCTCATGAGACCCCACAGGATGTGCTGTGTTCAGCTCTGGGGTCCCCAGCACAAGAAAGAAAAGGAAGTACTATTACAAGTCCAGACAAGGGCCACAAAGGTGATCAGAGGCCTGGAGCACCTCTCCTACAAGGACATGCTGAGAAGGTTGAGGTTGTTCCACCTGGAGAAGAGAATGCTTAGGGGAGACTTTATATCAGCCTTCCAGTACCTAAAGAGAACTGACATGAAAGCTGGGGAGGGACTCTTTGTCAGGGAGTGTAGGAATAGGATAAGTGGTATTAGTTTTAAAGGGGTGACCTTATCGTTATCGCACTCTACAGGTACATTAAAGGAGGCTGTAGCGAGGTGGGGATTGATCTATTCTCCCATGTGCCTGGTGACAGGATGAGGGAGAATGGGCTAAAGTTGTGCCGAGGAGGTTTATGTTGGAAAGACTTCTTTACTGAAAGGGTTGTTAGGTATTGGAATGGGCTGCCCAGGGAAGTGGTTGAGCCTCCATCCCTGGGTGTCTTTAAAAGACGTTTAGATGTAGAGCTCAGTGATATGGTTTAGTGGAGGACTGGTTAGTGTTAGGTCAGAGGTTGGACTCAGTGATCTTGGAGGTCTCTTCTAACCTAGACGATTCTGTGAACTAAAACAGGGTAGATTTAGGTTCCAACCCATTCTGTGCTCCATCTGGACATGGAGATGTTGGCTGTAACTCTTAGTGACCCTCTAGTCAATTCCCTATGGAGTGGTCCATCCATTAAATCCATGTCTCTACAAATATAGAGACAAGAATATCATGGGGGATAGTGTGAAAGCCCATCTAGATGATGGCTATTGCTCTTCCTCTTTACGCAATCCTGTAACCCCATCATAGAAAGCCACTGTATGTGCATTTTTATGATCCCCAGTGCTTAGAGATGGATAAAATTTAACACATTCTGATATTTTGTCTCTACATGGAGGAGTACTAAATTGTAACTAGCTACCACTTCATTACTGCAGCACTGGTTTAGCAAAAATTTCTGCCATATACCTTAACATATTCCTCAACATTTGTAATAAAACAAGTCTAACCAATCTGTCAGGAGCAGAGCTAGTAGATGGAAATCACAAGGGGAATCATGAGGTGATTAACCAAAAATTGAATGAAAAGTGTATTCAAAATTTAAATGTGAGCAAGAAGAGGTATCCATCAAGATCTCAAAGCTCTGAGTATAGCAGTCACCTAATGCATTGAACGAAGTGCTCAATAACTATCAATGGCCGTAGTGATGTTT